TTTATCTTTTGGTGTAGAGATTGGCCTGTTTGTCTAATGTAGAGAGCTGAAGGGCATTGTTGACAGAGGATGACCTCAGGACAGTAATCTTTTAACAAAAAACTACAAAGGAAGATTGGAAAGAGAAACAGCTGAGTACAGTTGCCCCTCCGTTCTCGTGGGGGATCCGATCTGGACCCCCCGCAAAAATGGAAAATTGTGGATATTCAAGCCCCATTGGCTTGAATGGAGGCACGTGTCCATGGGGGTGCACCACAAGCACACATCCCATTTTGTCCCACTGCGTTCACTGCCTGCAAATGGACAAGGGACACAGACTTGAGGTCCATGAAAATGGAGGGGCAACCATATGTCTAATCCATCAACAGTAGGTTGAAGAAAAACATTGGCTTTCTGCTATGCTATACATATTCTGACACTGGATGTACTTTATCCCTTCAACATATCTCCTTTCTGGTCTCAGAAGGTCTTTAGCTTCAGCTCTCACAGTATTTTGTTCATAGCAAGGAATTGAACAAGCTGAAACTTGTGCATTAGACAAAAGGAAATATTTCTTCACATAGTGGAGAGTGGGTAAAAACAAGATGTGTCTGTCTGTGTGTATTACTACTTATTCTTATAGTATAACACACCTTTTTTGTAATCAAAATTAAATACTGTCCCCTTTGATTTTTGTCTTAGTGGTTTTTATGGGTAGTTCAAAATACCCAGATGAGAATGGATTTGATGCTTTTCTGAAGAAACATGGGGGCAGTGACAATGCCTCAACAGACTGCGAACGGACAGTTTTCCAGTTTGACGTACAGAGGAAATATTTCAAGAAAGCTCTTGATAGGTATCACAGTTATTCAATATCAAAAGGTGGAGTTGTAGTGGGAATTATACTTCTTTGATGCTTCAGCTGATGTTGATTTATTTTGTGATTATTCAGCTTCAAGTAAAGCCTCTAAGAAAATGGTGGTATAAATCTAATGATTACAGTATTTTTAGAATATGTGATTTTGTAATAAAGGTTGTTGGACTTAAATTAAATGCTAGTAAACCTACATAATTTAATGAGGATAATTTTTGTGGAGGGGCTCTTTACAGTAAAGAGTTCTGTAGGGGGATGTCTATACTGAGGATTGCGGCTATTGTTGATCATATATCTTCAGAGATTCTTTGGCAGGGAAGATTATTCAATTTCAACATTAAGCAGTACAATTCAAAAAAACATTTATACAAGTATCCTACTTCTTACTTATTATCATTATTATTGATAATATTGAAGTTTACATACTTTTTCTGCTTCAGATGGGCACAGTTTTTCATTCATCCTTTAATGATTCGAGATGCAATTGATCGAGAAGTTGAGGCTGTGGATAGTGGTAAGAATCATGAGTTTTTCCCTAATTTTATCTTTTAGTTTTAAAAACTTATCTTGGCATAAATGTATTGGTAGCATCCTTTTGTGAAACAGACACATCTAAAGTTTTCAAGAACGTAGAGAATTTTATACTTTTAATTACCGTATATACTTGACTATAAGTCAACTTCATATAAGTTGAGGGTAGGTTTGAGGGCCAAAATTACGGATTTTGATATGACCCGTGGATAAGTCGAAGGTAAAATTTATGGGCATTGTATGTAACAAAGGATGTAAAGGCTAAAGCAAAGGAAAAGAATGCCAAAGAACTTAGAAATTCAAGCAGGTATAACTTTGTGATCACACTAAAGGCTGAAGGGATGAAAGAATAGAGAGGGATCAGTGCTTCCAGTGCAGATTATATTCCTGCCTTTCACCAGGAGAGGGTTCTTTTTTTTTTTTTTAATAAGAGTTAAAGTACAGTATTTACATTGACCCATGGATAAGTTGACTCATGTTTTTTGGGTCAATTTTTTGACCTAAATTTCTAGATGTATACATAAGTATATACAGTAAGCATAGCCCCTTACAGTTTGAGGGGGTCAAGTCATGAAAATAGTCATGAAGTAAAATGGAATCATTCTGGCCAAAAGGGAGATGAGATGATGCAGTATGTTCAGCTTTTGAATGTAGTAAGGAAAAATTCTTCATCCCATCAATTTATTAGACACTGATTAGAAGCAAATGTTGCAAAGCCATTCATATCAAGCCAGGACAGACAGTCTGTGTAGAAGCTGATTTCTGCTTATAAATTATCTTCTGGACTGGCTCTTGTACATTCAGAAAGGTGCTTGCGTCAGGCAGCTAGGTTAGAGAAGCAGAGAAACATGTACTGTGATGCTTGTCTATGTATTCAATTTTTAGCAAGTAGCTAGTGTTGTCTATGCTAATTACCACACCCCTTTTCCCTCTAGTAAATTGCCATCAACTTTGTTAAGGGCCATTACTTTATGTTTTGGATTCCTTTTCCAGAAGCAAATCTTAGAAATATTACATTTGGAACTAGAAATCTCAAAGTCTTTCAACCAGCATGTGCTTTCGTAGTCCAAAAGAGTAACATTTTTAAAGCTCTGTTCAGGTTATAGGAAATGTACAAGCCTTTCATATAAGTCAGCTTGGTTAAATAGTTTCAGTATTATTTCTTGTTATTCTTCCTGTTTTTAAGCAAATGAATGTTTTGATATATATGATAGAGTCACATTCCTGCATTGAAGACAGATGTTGAAAGACAATATTGCTTTGGAATCTGATTATTTATTTTTCTAAACAACAATAGAATATCAGCTTGCAAGGCCTTCTGATGCAAATCGAAGAGAGATGTTTTTTGGAAGTCTTGCTAGGACTGGACATCCAATGAAGAAGTTTTTTTGGGGTAAGTATGTCATAATACAGTCAGCTCTTCATATCCACAGGTTTGCCATATGCATGCATGCAGCCATGCTGATGCAATCACATGCACATTGCACTAGCATTGAGGAGAATTGGACTTAAGGTCCTGTGGAATCATTTGCCAGGAGTGGGTGGGAACCTCTGCAGCTTTGAGGGCTGACTCTATAACCTTGCAAATATGTAAGGCTGGATCCATACTAACTGCAATTTTATACATGTCAGACGTAAGTAGGTCTTATTTTTATTCATAGATAGATAGATTTTGTAGCATCTTTGAGACTAACTGGGGGGAAAAAAGAAGTTTGTAGCATTAGCTTTTGTAGACTTTAGTTTACTTCTTCAGATGTTTATGGTGGAGTGGAAGCCAGGGACAGACAGGAGTGCAGGAGTTTAACTGAAAAAAACTGAAAAGGACTGTTGACAACTGTAGAACCAGTCAGCATGAGTAGTATCTGAAGAGTAGCATCTGAAGAAGTAGACTAAAGTCTACAAAAGCTAATGCTACAAACTTCTTTTTTTCCCCCCAGTTAATCTCAAAGGTGCTACAAAACATCTGCTGTATTTTCTGGCATATAAGACGGCTGGGTGTATAAGACAACCCCCAACATTCCCAGTTAAAATATAGAGTTTGGGATATACTCGCTGTATAAGACTACTCCTCTTTCAACGCATACCAAATAAAAATTATTAAAACATCAGATTTGATTTCAATATGGTAATTTTAATTCAAATGCTTATGACATGCAGGTACTTAGCAGGAAATTGTCACTTATAAACACAACAAACTACAGCTCCCATGTTTGCTAGCATTTATTTCTGCAATTTGTTTTGGACCTTATTTTTTAAAAAATAGTCCTGATTTAAATGCTGCTTTAAAAATTATTTCCATCTCCCAGCTATGAGATGGTTGGGGGGGGTGGAATGAGAAAGTGTTGCGGGGAAGGACTGCTAATATACTAGGTGATGCATTCTGGGATATATACAATTTGCGGCCAAGTAAGTGACCCTGGGCATGTCACACACTTTCAGCCTCAGAGGATGATAATGGCAATCCCCATTTGAAGAAACAAGCCAAGAAAACCCCATAATAAGGTTGCCTTAGGGTTGCCATAAGTCAGAAAGGACTTGAAGATACATAAGAACGACAAAAAAGTCTACAATTGTTTCATAGGTAGTACATGGGAATTTGAGCCAGCATGGTGTGGTTTGAGTGTTGGATTACCAATCTGGAGATCTGGGTTTGATTCCCCACTCTGCCATGAAACCCACTGGGTGAACTTGGACAAGTCACACACTCTCAGCCTCAGGGGAAGGCAATGGCAAACCTCTGAACCAGTCTTGCCAAGAAAACCCCAGGAGAGGATCACCTTAGGGTTCCTCTCGTCCTCCTCTTCTCCCAAGGCTTCTTTCCACCCCCACCGCTGTCCTTCTCGTCATCCTCTTCTCCCAAGGCAGGGATAGGCAACCTTTTTGAGCCGGGGGCCGGGTTGCTGTCCCTCAGCCAATTGGGGGGCCGAAGCAAAAATAAATAAATTTTTAAAATTATTTAAAAAAAAAATATGCATGCACACTCTCTCAGCCCCAGAAAAGCCATGATGGCAAAACCCCTGTGGAGATTTTGCCAAGAAAACCCCCAAGAACAAGTAATAACAACAATAATCAATATCATCATGGCAGGCGGCTGTGGGCAGCAGGGGTTGTCGGCGGCGGCGGCAGGACCAGCCTGGGGCCAGTCCAAAGGCCTCGGTGGGCCGCATCCGGCCCCCGGGCCGCAGGTTGCCTACCCCTGTCCCAAGGCTTCTTCCCCCTCACACCTCTGTCCTCCTCCTCTTCTCCCAAGGCTTCTTCCCACCCCCACCTCTGTCCTCTTTCTCTTCCTCCTCCTTATACCTGGCGTATAAAAAGTCATCTTATACGCTGGAAAATACGGTATATATATTAATTCTACAGACTAACATGGCTATATTTTTAAATTCTATTGTTTTTATTCAGTGAGGCTTAATTCCAAGTGGGTATGGGATTGTAACCTAAGTTTTGTTGATGTTGTGCGCCTTTAAGTTGTTTTCAGCTAATGGTGACCCTTAGGTATCTGTTATAATTCCATGTTTGTTTTATTTTGGCAAGATTTGTTCAGAGGGAGTTTGCCTTTGTCTTCCTTTGAGGCTGAGAGAGTGTGACTTCTTTAAAGTCACCTCATGGGCTTCCATGACTAGGGAAGGATTTGAATCTCCAGAGTCTCCTGAGTCGTAGTCCAGTGCTCAAACCACTACACCACACTGGCTCTCTGTTAGTTGAACTCAATTTTCATTTGAATTAATGGGATACCTATACAGATAAAGAAACCTGATTAGAATCTATATGAAGGATTCAAATTGTAATATCTTGAATTCATGGTAGTATCAGAAACTTTAGAGCTGTTTAAAAACTTTGATTTTTTTTAAAGGATCAGAGTAGAGTGCTGTCACCCTGGAACTTAAACTCTGCTTTCCATACCATGATCTAGTGAAATGTATATGATGGCAAGTGTGGAGGAGAGTCTTTCCCGATTTGTACCCAGCAGGTGGAATAGTCTCCCCGCTGAGGTCAGAGAGGTTCCCAACATAAGGTGTTTCTGCTGAAAGTTGCAGATTTGTATGTTTTCATGGGCATTTTCCTGTTTGAAAACCTAGGCAATAACCTCTAGATAACCAAGAGATTTTACTGAAATATTTTACAATTCTGTTTCTGGTATATCATTTTGCTGCTTTATTTTACTGTTTTCTTATGGGTCTTAACATTATAAAATCACTGTTTGATTATTTTTTAAATAAAGAATAGTATAAAAGAAACACACACACTCCGTGAGTTATACTCCAACTTTTCTCTTGATTAGTGTGGTGAACAGTGATCTAATGTTCCTTAACAGATATTCATTCACTGATTTTAAAGACAAAGTTATTCTTGATAATTGCATTTTGGACAAAAGACAATAGTGAAGTTAAGGCACAGTTTCCATGAATTTGGGCTTCCTTTAGTAATTGTTACATGTCAAGTTAAAATTATTATTATTTTTTGCTACCACCAGGGATCCCAAAGCAAAGTACAATAAAATAATGTAAAACATTGTTAAAACAGGTGAAAAACAATGTTAAAAACTGGTTTTAAAAATGAAAGGCCATATGAAAAAGTAAAGTTTTGGCTGTTCCCCATTAGTTTGAAAAACCTGCTTGATTTGCATTGTGAGGGAGTTCCACAATCCCTACCACTGCAGAAAAAATCCTAATTCCATCAGCATGGTGTCCTGAAGTGATAAAACATGCAACAGGGTCTTCACTGACGACTTCAACTTCTGTGCAGGTTTATTTAGGAAGAAGTGGCCTTTCAGATTATTCTCCCTATGTGATGAGGGAGACATCCGTGCAGACATTAACTCAGGGGTGGGCAACCTGTCCCCTTTAAGGACCGAGGGACTTCAGCTCCCAGAATCCCAGGAGCTATTGGCCAACATGGCTGAGGCTTCTGGGAACTGAAGTCCCTCGGCCCTTAAAGGGAACAGGTTGCGTACCCCTGCATTAACTGCTGCTGCTGCCCAGGCAGGCATGGATTGTGTGCCAGAAGAATTGCATTGACACATAAAGGAGTTTTTCATCTTCTTAGTAGGAGTAGGGGATGTGTAGAAAGAAGACCTTTAAAGTTGGGGATAAAAACTTTTTCTTGGGCAAAGACTGTGGCACCAATCCCCTTTATTTGGAAGTAAACTTGAGTTCTGTAGGATATCCTTACTATAAAACATATATTTAAGGTTGCAACAAGAGTAGTGTGTGTGTGTGTGCACCTTTCCCTCACAAATTGGGTTTGCTTAGGGGAGTTTTCTGTCTGTATCAGTTATTTTGTGCTTTGGAGTTTTCTGTCTGTCTCTGTTATTTTGTGCTTTGATTGTATTTAATTTATAATAATAATAATAATAATAATAATTTTTATTTAATACCCCGCCCCTCTGAGCGCAATCGGGGCGGCTTACAAGATAAAATCACAACAACAATTAAAAATAAATTCCTCCCCCTCCCCCCCTTAAAAAATTATTAAACCAATTTCAAGTTAAAAATAAGGTATAAAGGAGGTAAATTCCTCAGTGCAAGCAGCAATACAACAAAAGAGAAAGTGCTGGCGGTGTATAAACACTAGCTCATCTGAACCTGATCACATAAGGGGAGAATCTCGGAAAGAGATTCTGGAGCCGGAGCTGGTAAATTTAATTAATCCGGGAAGGCCTGCCGGAAGAGATCCGTCTTGACAGCTTTCTTGAAGCTGTCGAGTGATGACAATTGACGGATCTCCTCCGGCAGGCCATTCCACAGTTTGGGGGCAACTACAGAAAATGCCCTCTGGGAGGTTGCAAATGAATTTGTTTATGTTCCTCTCCTCAGTCAGCTACATTGTGCAGACATACCTGTCTCTTCTGTTCCTTTCTTTTCTCTATGTGAGAGTTTCCTCAGCTTCTCCCCACCTTCCCAGGATGATGTGTCCAAATACGACAGTCTAAGTCTTGTCATCTTGGCTTCTAGGGATATCTTTGGCTTGATCTGTTCTAGGACCCATTTCTTTTGTTTGTCCTTTTGGTTGTCCATGGAATCCTCAACACTCTTCTCCAGCACCACATCTCAAATGCATTGATTTTCTTCCTATCATCTTTCTTGACTGTCCAGCTCTCACATTCATACATGGTAATAGGGAATAGGATGGCTTGCATGATTATGATTTTTGTGCTGAGCTGTATGTCTTTGCATTTTAGGATCTTTTCTAGTTCTTTCATAGCCACTGTCCTCATTCTTAATCTCCTGATTTCCTGGCTGCAGTCCCTGTTCTGATCAATGTTTGACCCCAGATATGAGAATTCTTTTACTATTTCTATTTTCTCATTGTCTAGTTTGAATGTGTGTAAGTTCTCTGTGGTCATTATTTTTGTTTTCTTTATGTTCAACAGTAAGCCTGCCTTTGCACTTTCTTCTTTGATCTTCTTTAGTAGGTGTTCCAGGTCTGTGAGGTTTTCTGCTAGTATTGCTGTCAACATTTCTCAGATTGTTGATATTTCTTCCTCCTCTTTTCATTCCTCCCTCTTCCATGTCCAAGCCTGCTTTCCTTTACAATATGTTCTGCATATAAGTTGAATAGGTAGAATAATAGGATGCAACCTTGTCTGACCCCTTTGCCAATTGGGAACTGTTCTGTTTCTTAGTGTTCTATTCTGACAGTAGCCTCTTGTCCTGGGCTGTGTGGCCATGTTCTAGAAGAATTTCTTTCTGACGTTTCGCCAGCATCTGTGGCTGGCATCTTCAGAGAAAACTGAAATGGAACAGAATTTTCCTCACCTTTGCACACTAGCCGTTGTACCGTTGCGTTCATGGTTCTTAGTTTATTCCTATCTCCTTTTTGTTTTGTTTCTCTTTTTTCCGTTATTGCTTGTAGCGTTTTAATCTGTCATCCATGGTTTCTTCACTTTCCTTTTGTCTGTTGGAAGTGTCTTTATGCATTCTTCTTTTATTATGCCCCTGGCTTCAGACCAAAGCTCTTCCAGTTCACGATCTATTATACTTAGTACTGCAAATCTGTTCCTTATATTGTCAATGAATTCTGTGGAAATGTTTAAATTGTATTTGGTTTTGTTCTCTTCATGAGTTTTACTTTTATTTTTGAAATGGGTAGTTTGTGACCTGTGCCACAATCAGCACCTGATATAGTCTTGGCCACCAGTATGGAGTTTCACCATATTTTATTTCCAATTATGTAATCTGTTTGGTTTGTGTGTTGATCATCTGGTGATGCCCATGTGTATAACCTTTTCTCTGGTTGTATGCAAAATGTGTTTGCAATGAATAGTTGTTGGCCTCACAAAAATATATCAGACGCTCACATGCTTCATTTCTTTTGCCTAGTCCAAATCTGCCTACCATTTTTTATTCTTCTTTACTTCCAACCTTTGCATTCCAGTCTCCAATGATCAACTTGACATCCTGTGTTGATGTGTTGTCAATTTCTTCTTGTACTCCTTCATAAAATCTATTTATTTCTTCTTGTTCTGCCTCAGTGGTTAATACATATACTTGAATTATGGTGATATTCATAGGTTTCCCATGGAGCCTTATTGAGATGATTCAGTCTGATTTTGTGTTGTATCCTCTGACTGCTTTTGCAACATCTTTTCTTAGTATGAAAGCCAACTCATTTCTTCTTGTCTTTTCATTCCCTGAGTAGAACACTATAGTTGTCAGATTCAAAGTGGTCCATACCTGTCTATTTTAACTCACTCATCCCCAGTACTGTTATGTTCATGTGTTGCATTTTCATTTTCACTAGGTCTAGCTTTCCTTGTCTAGCTCATGCTTCTCACATTCCATGTTCCTATTTTATGTGTGGTGCTGCTTCTGATGGGGTTTGTCTTTCTAAGAGTGTTTCCTGCCTGCTTCGCCATTTTTTTATTGCTCTTAGCTGCTCTTTCAAGTGTGTTTTCCTTTAGTTTATATCTATCTCTCTGTAGTGCTCTTGTCCTGCCTGTGTGACACTTTTGATGTCTCCTCATAGGGTTTTCTAGGTGGGGGGTTACACAAGGGTATTAAACTTACTTAAATAAAACTATTCTAATTTAACCTTGTTATTTCCTTACAAAATGCTAAAATATGATTGTATATGCATGTGCAAAAGAAAATGAGCACACTAAATAAACAAAATATTTTTGTACATGAATGTGCAAAAGAAAATGCACACACTAAATAAACAAAATATCTTTATTCATATACTCTATCAAGGGGGAGGACATAACATCTACATGTAGATGTAAAGGGAGGTACCAAGGGTAAAAAGTTTGAGTGTCATTGCTGTAGTATATACAGCTTGGGAGAACGGTTTATTTATTTTATTTATATACTGTCTTTCTCCCCAGACAGAACCCAAAATATATGTTCCACTCTGGGGGCTCTCAGAAGCTGTGGTTGGTGATTGTAACAACATTTTCCTGCACATGCTCAAAGGAGCTCTCGCCTTTCACCACAGTGTAGCTGCACAGATAAATTTCCACAGACAATTTGTGCCTCTGTATATACTTGCATGCTTTTCAAGAATAGTGGTTTTCAAGAACAATAGTTTGAAAACAGTGGAGTGGTTTTCAAACTGTTGCTCTCCCGGAGGTGATATAAGGCATTTGGAGCTATGAACCCTCAATCTTTTTTTTTTCCCCAGCCAGGTAATTAGGTTGACCAGGGTTGAGAATGGCATCCTATAGCCTTTCATTTGTTGTGGTATGACAGG